TTGTGGGCATATTTTCACATTTGCGTGCTCCATTTAACTCCAGCCCTTAAAGTCTCGGGGTAATGGTTTGGTGATATGTAATGATGTTGTGGTGACGGAGCAGTGCGCCTGTTGAAATTTCAGAATCGTTAGAGGGCATTTTTCCTGCTTTCGTTCTGTCTTGGCCTATGCTGGGAGATCATGGAGCACCATATCAGTGACGATCTCTAAAAACTCCCAGAAGTCAACAAAAACCCGTGCCATGAGCTCCCGCACCAAAACCGATCAAGTTTCTGAGCCAAAAATTGCTGGACAAAACGCATTTCTGAAAACGCGTCTTTCTCCATAACCGGTCTGTTTTTTATCCTCTTAGTATCAGCGGATGTGATGTGCTGTACGGAGGCGTGTTATGTATGTATAGCACAGTGCATGTGGTGCGGTCCAGGACGGGGTCAGCGTCCGTCGCGGAGCCGGCGCCAGCCCGTCCCCACTGAAACCTGATGGCGGGGAGGCGACGCGCGGGGGACGCCCTGCGCGGCGGCGCCATGCCACGCCCGGGGACAGTGGCGAGAGAGAGCTGAGGCTGGGAGGTGCGCTGCGAGCTGTCGAGCGGTGAGGACATTTCGTTCTTGTGTTGGCGAGCTGAGACGGGAAAGACAGTGGGTGGAGAGACAGCGATTGTGTGAAGAGACGTAATTGTGTGTGCAAAGACAGTGAATACGAACATTTGAACATCGAACGGCATTTACTACTGCAAAGAGAGACAAGAGCTGAGACTGGCTAGGGGACATTTCTAACCTCTATACTTCAGCGGTAAAGCTGTTATTTATAAATACTCACACACACACACACACACACACACACACACACACACACACACACACACACACACACACACACACACACACACACACAACTATATATAATATATATATATATATATATATATATATATATATATATATATATAGTATTCAGTTAGTGCAAAACATGCTCAAGTCCGTGAATTCTATCAATGTAATACGCAAATGGACTAATTCTCGCCTGCCTTAAAGCTGCAATGAAAGCAAAACTTGACCGACGGAATTTCCTTTTATCTATCCCGAGACACTGGCGTGCAAAATAAACTTCAGCTCCATGCGTCAAACCGATTGGTTTTGTGGACTGTGCAATAACGGCGTAAAACATCAATGGTGTAACGTAAAGTTGGACACAAATGAGCGTAATTTGAGCGTTTGATCACGCCCACAGGACTTAACTGATAGAGTCGGATGTTTATCTAACGGAGGTGGTGAACCAAAAAAAATCATGGATGGCTTGCCGACTGATCTCAATTCTCCAAATGCATATGTGAGGATGACCAACGTTTGGCATGGTGAGCCTTCCGCGTAGTGGTGTCGCCGCGCAGGGTGCAGTGTATTGGTGTCGCCACGCAGGGTGCAGTGTAGTGGTGTCGCCACGCAGGGTGCAGCGTAGTGGTGCCGCCACGCAGGGTGCAGCGTAGTGGTGCCGCCACGCAGGGTGCAGCGTAGTGGTGCCGCCACGCAGGGTGCAGCGTAGTGGTGTCAGCACGCAGGTGCAGCGCCGTAACTTGAACCCCTCAGCCTAAAAACCATTTCCAAAAATGGAGGAAAATGGCAGCTTCGGTGAAACCCTTTTATACTTGGCAGGCTATTTGGTTGTGTCCGTTGAACGTGAATCCACAGACTTTTCCTCCAACCCAAATATGATATTATGCCAGTGATTTACCGGTCTAGTGGAAACTCTGCCACACCAAACAACATTTTGTTTGCTTCCCGTAGTATGTTCTGAGCTTAGAATCGTTTTATACGAGATCCGGATTTCAACCATCTTACCGAGCATGTTGATGACTGGAAGAACAGATACGATGAAGACCGGTGACAAGCGTGGCACTTCTTTAAAAAAGGCGACCTGCACTGTACTATTTGTCCTTCCAAGAAAAGGAAACTGTTGGGAATACGAAGGAGGTCACGCCCAGAGGAATGCCAATGAAGCTCCAGTTCATTTCTTGTCCTGATTCGAATATTGTGTCATGAAACGCCTACTTCCATTCGCAAACCGGCGTATCATATGATGGAAGTTGACATGGCAAAAAATACAAGATTTTTTGCTCTAGCATTATTAGACATGGACCTGCCTTGATACCTCACCCCCAGCCGGTGGTCTGAGACGGCCGTGGCCGGCCGGGTGGGAAGTTGACCCGCTCCCCCCTCCCCCTTCCTGGGATCTTCAAATTTAAGCCGTCGTACGAGCAAGACAGCAAAACAGATATCGTTGTGAAAGCCTTGTCTAATCATTAATCATTCAGGCTAAAAAAGATCGCTTTGATAGACGCAGTTTAACATATCCTAATGCGCCCTGACGGATATCGAAGCCACTGAAGGAAGCGCTCGGACTGTGGGGATTCCATTCCGACCGTTTTGTTTCCGGAAGGTTCAGGTCAGGTCACGTTACCGTTTGAACTTGGTCACAGTCGTTCATCTAGCCCCTCCGCTGCCGAAAACCGGAGCCATTAACTCTGAATGACCTCATATAACCTTGCACATCTTCACGTGATCTATTATAAACCTAGTTTGCATTATTATGATACCTCAGCAATTTTCAATGAAATGTTCAAATAAGCCCTCAAATTACCTAACAATATTGCCTATTTTGAGCACGGTGTGTGTTTTGTATAAGACACCCATAGAGACAGGTCATGACCTAGGCCAATTCCACGTGCTCTGTGTAATATATTGATTGCGCATGTCAGTTAGTACTCTTTTCTTCATATGCAAACACCGTGACTACGCAAAAACTAACTATGAATTTGCATTTTTAGGGAAAATAGCAAAACGACCTGGCCTCAGGTCACTGATCTCACCTATGTAAAAGCTGAAAAACAAACTGTAGCTAACATGATGTTTCAAGTTTGAGCAATGGCAAATCGCGCAACAAAGTTATGTATGTGTAAAGCATCAGAGAACACCTATGTGCCAGCCGGTGAATGTTTACGTAGTTTGGCGAGCGCCGCTTAGGGGCGCTCGCGATCCCCTCCTGCTCCAGGCACCCCATGCGAAGGACGCGGCTGGGGGCAAGAGAGGACAAAGTAACAAGGTGAGGACTCGGAAAGCCGCCGGTGCGAGAACGGACGCGCCGGCGGGACGGACTGTGTGGAGTGCCTGTGACGAGTGTCAAATACAGACGTGACTTGGAACGTACCGTGTGTACCAGTGAGCCAGAGGCGATACTCCGGCAGGACGGACTGTGTGGAGTGCCTGTGACGAGTGTCAAATACAGACGTGACTTGGAACGTACCGTGTGCACCAGTGAGCCAGAGACGATACTCCGGCGGGACGGACTGTGTGGAGTGCCTGTGACGAGTGTCACATACAGACGTGACTTGGAACGTACCGTGTGTACCAGTGAGCCAGAGGCGATACTCCGGCGGGACGGACTGTGTGGAGTGCCTGTGACGAGTGTCACATACAGACGTGACTTGGAACGTACCGTGTGTACCAGTGAGCCGGAGGCGAGACATCAGAACAGCAGAACTTACATATGGTTAAAGTTTTTTCTAGAATTTGATCTCTTAGGCCTGACCTAGGTCACTCGCTTAGGCAGACAACTTCAAATCCGCGCAAAGGATGCCAAATTGATAGGTGAACAGCTGCTGGAAATTTGATGTCGCTGCAAGCGTTCGTTTATGAGCTGTGTTCGAAAAACCGTAAGAGGGAAGTCAACTTACCCTGGCCAGGCGCGGGATACCAAACCTAAAATGCTAAAAAAAACTGGACTTAACATGAGCAAAACCTATCCCTTGTCGTTAGATCTATCAGAATAATCAACTATTGGTAGTCCAGAAGGGATGAAAAACTTCCTCCCGATGTTACAAACAGCGAGAACCTCTGTTGCAAAGCCATGTTAGGGGATGTTAGCCCACAAACAGTCTGTGAGCAGGACCAGGTCATTTGTCGCCACTAATCAGAGCTACCCTGGAGTAACAGAGTCCGGTGACCGAGCGATGATGAAGTCATGTGTCGCCGGCGGGGCGTGTCCCTGTCATGTGTCACTGCCACTGTGGTGGTAGTAGGTTACGTCCGTGTGAACATTGGTGTTTTGTAGTGACAGCAGATGTCAACAGAGGGCGCAGTCGTACGTCTCATGGGATATGAGATCTCATGAGATGTATTAAGCTACCGGAGCCTCTTTGGAGCCCACGCCGAATGCCGCACGCGACGGCCTGATGAGAAAATATTTTTCTTCCTTTCCAACCGTTACCGAACTTTTTCAAAAGCCACAAGGTCTGTCGCGGTTAGTTTTTTGTTTTCCTTGCGTTCAATGCTTCCAAATTGCCACCTGAGCCACCTGGCTTCGGCTCCCAACTCATTACATGCTGATAAGATGCTCTCTGCCCGGGCTGGTCGGATATTTTCGTGTGGGTAAGCTGCCAGTTTTCGCCGCTGAACGTCGCCGTCTCTCCATACTTTTGCATGCAGATGGCGCCGGTATCGGGGCGGGAACAGTTACCCGTCAAACCCCATGTCGAGCATAGTAGGTGCAACGTTACACTACGGTAAATATTTATCGTCCAACAGCCCAAAGAAGCCAAACGGCACTTCGCGTTACGTTAAACATTGTTGGCCGCAAACACCGCAGCATGCACTGGGAAAGCGTCCGCCTAAAGCTGTGGTCACCTGCTACTCTCGCGAGCCCACGTCGTATGCCTCGCGACCCGGAGCACTGCCCACGGCATCTTGAGCCAAGGCCTACTGGCCTCCCGGGTCAAACGACGTAGGTTAGTCCGTAGACTCGTTTTGAACTACGCTCAAGCCCGGTTCCAAACTCCCACTTGCTCCTGAACAAGCTACAGGGATTACTTAACTTACAGCGTAGCCTGCCGGGCATGTTCACGACGCTTGCAGTCGAAATCAAATAACCGGCCTCGGTCATCGATGCGGGCACCTGTCCCGTAACTACTCAAGCCGCTTCTTCCGCATTGCTTCAGAACAGATCGCAACCACCAACACAATTCCTGTATTGAGCACGCAGCGAACAAATCTCTGGAGTAACTGAAATGTTTTCCTTCGGACACAGGTGGAACAGTCACTATTGTGAATAATAAAACAAGAATACTCCACAACACAAAAAACGTGCAGTTTGCGCGCCCCGCGTACTTCGTTCACATGCAGACGCGAAATGTCACAGCGGCGCGAGACCCCCAATTAAAATCCCGCCCACCCAAAGGGACAAGACATGAGAATGCTTCACGCACGCACCAGTTTTTCACCACTATGCCTCCACTTTCATACAAGATGCTCACTGCAGCCATAACAACATGCTTATCTCTCAATGTCAGCTGGCTGCCCTCGTATTCCTGAACATCAAGACCTGGAGGCGTGCAACGCCGGGGATGCCCCGACAACAGTGAAGCTCCACACGAGGACAATATATCACGGTTTAAATATGACAGTTTGCACTAGAACACTGCTTTACAGCTCGTCATGCGCCTCAAGCACATCATCCTCGTCATCCAACTTCTTGTCGTCATCCTCCTCGTCCTCTTCATCCTCATCCTCATCACCTTCTTCGTCCTTTGCCTTGTCAGCTTCCTCCTTCAGCCGCTGACGCTCCTCCTCCTCCTCGGCCTCCTTCATCTTCTTCTCACCTTCCACCCGCTTCAGCACTGCCTCAGCATCAGCCTTGGCCGCCTCGACGTCGTCGGTGATGAGCAGATTGTCGAAGATGGTGCCCGACTTGACCTGCCACAGGTCGAGACCCACCACGCCGATGTCCTCATACAGGTACAGAGTGTCATCCGCCTCGTACTCGGGGTTGTCGATCATGGGGTGCACCCACTTGCCCTGTGAACACCAGCCGGAGTACGATTAGCGCAGGTGATCGTGGAACGCTTATCATATTACAGGCACCTACCACGCGACAATTTTCACAAGGACTACAGTCATCTACATCTTAAACAAAGCCCATGCAAAGATCAGCAGACATGCAGCATATTTTTTAGGCTTCAACACTGCCCAAGCATATTAGTTGTACCTTGTACTCCGGGTTGTCGATCTGGCGCGGCTTCCACTCGCCCTTGTAATCGGGGTTGTCAATCATCGGAGGTTCCCACTCGCCATCCATGTCTTCGTTCCAATCCTCAGGCTTGGTGGCATCCGGGTCAGGGATGTGCTCTGGCTGGTCCCAGTCCTCCGGCTTCTTGTCCTCTGGGTCATCGATCTTCTCGCGGTCATCCCAGTCTTCGGGCTTCTTGGCCTCCTGGATCCTTGATGGTCTTCGGTGGGAGCATGTCCCAATCACCCTCCAGGTCACCAGATTCCACTTTCTCATTGTCAATGAGCACCTGGAAGAAAAAAATTTGTTAAACACTGATATGGCTACTTGCTTCACGACCTGTTGGCTGATGGTGAATAATTAAGGTATCCAGCCATGTTACAGTGACAATTCAAGGCCAAATTGTACCACATGAAATGTGCAACATGCACACATGCTTACAGTTTGCTCCATTTCAACCAATAATCAGTGTGATGAATCAGAGATGGAGAAATCCCAAATGATGATGACCCAAGAAGCACATCCTAATTTGTTTGGAAATTGATGACCCCAGATCAAGTTTACCACACAGAGCATGATTCTCACCTCGTAGGTATTGTCAGACTTGAGAATGAGGGTGTACACATGCGTGTATACATCATCTTTGCAACGGATATCTTTCTTGATCAGGTGATTCTTGCCATTATAATTGAAGATGACATGCACTTTCTTGGTGCCTGGACCACAAATGTCAGGGCCAAACATGATAGCATAGGGAGATTCTCCATGCATGTCCTTTTGGTCAAGAGAGCTGGGGAACAGCTTGATGTATCCTCCACCACAATCAATATTCTGTTCATGCTTCACAGACAGCTGGGCAACAAATGTCTTGTCTTTGTTGGACACTGCTGGGAACTTTGCAGAAATTGCATAGAACTTGGCATCTTCTGATGTTTTGAGCCCTGAAAAGGAAATGGTTTAAATGCAAGCACAACTAAAACTCCCTACAAATAGTGATGCACACAGACCATGGACTGGTACAAATTAATCCCGTCACAAACCTTTGATCACATAGGCCTGAAAACAGCAAGTTTTGCACTTTGAAAAGATGTGTACCAACTTAAACTAGTACCACAATGCAACAGCTTCTCAAATCACACCAAGTAGCGGATGTTGCAAGATGCATCAAACCACTAGCTACAGGGTGAACAACCGTTGCTCCGGCTGCCAGGGAGATGTTGCCCAAAGTTTTCCACCATGGTCACTATGTTTCATATCATTGGGCCAACATTTCTGGTGGCCAAGGGGCATTCATTGCCCATTTGCCACCACAAATGTGTCTCAGGTATTTCTGGTTGAGTAGCAGAAGCTTTAAAAAACTGATAAATGGCCAGATAAATGAACAATGCCTGGATAGAATGCAAGGCAGATGTTTTCACACTCATGAAGCACTTTATCATGATACACAACTGTAAAAAAACTACAAACACATTCACAATTAAACATACAGCACATCAGTGTAAGCTTCATGTTGCAATCAAGATGAAACTAATTTTCATGAAAAAATAAACCTTTGACTTGGAAAACTGGCAGAACTACATAGAAATCACAATTATGGAGGTAAAATAATGGTAAAATTTCCCACATGACAGGCAATTTAATACAGATTAAGTCTGCTACCATTCATTTTTCAAACATCAAATATCTCATTCTCTCACCTTTGTCCTCTTCTTTGTCTGAGAAGTATTTCCCAGCACTTAGCAAAAATTTGCCATTGTCCTTGGAGTGTTCCGACAGCACCCATCGGCTCTCCCATTCATCTGCGAAAAAACAAAGGTGAACCTGTCAGTGTTGAAAACAGCACTGACAAACAGTCTACAATTCCCTGAAAAAGGAAGTCAACCAGTTGTGAAAATATAATTCAGCACACAACAGTATAAATATTAATGACAATTAAATGCCCAACACAGCCCAAACACATGGTGATGATGGTATTAACCATTAAACCAGAAAGCAACAAGCATACTGGTATTGCATCATTACGAGTCCATTATTCGTTCACGGGGCTAACACATTCCATACGGCAGGAAATAAAAAGCTGTGACTAGAGCCAGGCTGACGCGTCTTATTAAATCTGATATTTTGGAGTTCCATGTTACATTTTTAGCCGCTTACTTTCGCTTCATGTTTATCCCATCATCCACATCACTTCATCTATAACCATAGCTAGTTGGGTCTTCTGAAGGAATCAAACATTAGGAATTGTGGCTGAATTTCCGAGACGCGGGTAGCATCAGCACGGATAACACTGACCGAATCAGCGCTAAACTTACCTCCGTCGGCGAATTTGTCCTGAAAAAATACTTCGCTGCGCGCGAGCGAGAAGAGGGCAACAAGAAGAAGGACTTTCATTTTCGTATCTAACATGCGCGCCCCACACCCATCCGGCCCAACAGACGAATGCCGGTAACCCTCGCCGCTCTAGCCGGCTTTCCAGACATCCACAACTCGTGGAGCGCTACCATTGGCCAAGGATGTTCTGCATTGGCTGAATCCCATTGGTCCACATGGAGAGCCAATGAACGCGAGCCACGGACAGAGCTGAACGAGAACGCATCAGCTGTAGCGAGCTGTGGGATTTTAGGGGGAGGGAAGGGGACGTCCGAGGGTTCCGCGCGGGGTGGGTGGCCTCTCGCAGATACCGGACACCGGACAGGTGTGTGATAGTGCAAAACAGGGATGTTGCAGATGGAAATGGCAGGGAAATCATAGCCCGCGGCGGCATGGGACGCCCTTATTGGCCCAAAGGTTTTTGGTCACCATTTTCCATCTGTGCTCGCTCGTCCCCGTAACAGTGGCACAGAGAAGAGCGAAGGGGGGGGGGGAGGGGCACGGAGAGAACGTGCCTCCCTTTGGGTCCGAGGGATCCGAAGGGCCCCTCGAGACGTCCGATAAGGGGCCCGAAAGGCCGACCGGATGGTCGCATTCATGGGTCAGGCCCGCAGGCTCGGGTACTACACCGCCATCCAAGAGGACCCTGCGCAATGATCAGCCCCCCCCCCCCCTTAGTCGATAAGAGCCCATATTTCGGTTAGACACCACCCATTTCGCGCAGTCGGCTCCGTGTCGGCCAGGTTCCCCAGGCAGGGACAAAGCAGCACCCAGCGATTTATATTATTCAGGGCCCCGGCGCCTGCCACGGGCCCTTCAGCGCCTAACAGGGGCTCTGTGTTGACAAAAGGCCGGAGTCGGCCAGGGGAAGTGTTTGAGGAGGCCCGAAGAGCCTGGAGGGCCTACCGAGACCGACAATCAAGGGCCCAATTAGTGGGCTTAAGGGCACGAAGTGCTGGTCGGGTCTTATTCTGCGTCTCCAGCCTGTGAGGACGGGCCCTCAAATGACAGTCAGAGGCTCGTTTCTTCCGATCGGGGACCTCCTGAGTCGATATCGGCCTACATTTCGGTAAGACACCACCAGCATCGCATAGTCAGCTCTGTGTCGATATGGGCCTTTAAAGTCCACTTCCCAATCAGCTTCAAAAGCGGGGACAGCAATTTGCACTGGTCGGGGCCCCTGCCAGAGGTCTGCAGTGCCTAACAGAGGGTCCTGTCTCCGCAAGGGGCCCCGGGCCGACCAAGGACAGTGTTTGATGAGGCCTAAATCCGGGCGGGCGAGCGGGGACCGCTGATCAAGGGCTCGGTTGAAAGGCATGAGGGCCTGAATGACTGGCTGTGGGCCACGTTAAGAATCGCAGCCAGTAGGTTCGCGACCTAAAATGTCAGTCAGAGGTCCTCTTGCACCGTTTGAGAACCCCCTGACACGATGCGGTTGTGTCGGTCGATCGGAGACCACGAACACCGAACAGCTGGGTCCCTGTCAATCTGAAACATGGGAGCCCATTTCCCAAGCAGGAGCAAGGCGGGGGGCCACAGCTTGCATTTGTCTGGAACCCTGAAACAACGGTTGGGGCCCCCGTGTCGGTCAGGGGCCCGCGGTGCCTAACAGGTGGTCATGTGCCAGCTAGCGGCTTAGATGCGGTCATAGGCTTCGTTTGAGGAGGTCCGAAGAGAGGATGAAAGATCCCTCGGGACCATAGATCAAGGGTCTGATTGGAAGGTTGAAGGGTCTGCAGGGCTGGCTGAAGGATCTGCAGGGCTGGCTGAAGTTAGTTAGACGGTTAGAACGCCCGCCCGAAGGGCCGTGATCTCAAATGTCAGAGGGTCTCGTGCCAATTGGGACTCCGCCCTAAGACAGAGCGCCCCACCATTTCGACCAGATATCACCAACGCCGAGCAGTCAGCTCCGTGTCGTCCTGATCTCTTGGGGCCCATTTCCCAAGGTGGCACAAGGCGAGGCCGGGCCCGCGATTTACATTGGTCGAGGCTCCTGTGACAACGCAGGGCTCTTTTATCGATCAAGGGCCCAGTGCCAACAGGGTGATCTGTGTCAAAAAAGGTTCTCGAGTTGGTCAGAACATTTGCTCAACAAGGACGGGGACGAGACCCCGCATGATAGAGGACTTCTTGGGTTTGTCGGGGGCGATTTGTCAGTGAAAGAAACACAATTTATGATATGTGCTCACATTGAGACATTAAAAGGATCCCGTGCCAGTCAGGGTCCCCCAACATCGAGCGACGGGTTAAGCCGACCTTAAGTCTATGCGCCGATTACTAGATCATCTGCGGCGATTAGGGATGTTGATGAGTCAGTGAGGTTTCTTGCGTCGATCCGGTGCCAGCGGCGCGGGTCACAAGGCCTTCCGCGTCAGGAAGCGGCCAATGCTATATTATGTATCCCTCTAAGTGTCTCCGGATCGACAAGGGGATCTCACCTCATCGTGCCGCCAGAATGACAGCCGGAAGACAATTCGCGTTGGAACGGAATGGCCCTTCAGCTCCTGAACGGGAGAAAAAATGTGCCCCTAGTGCTCTACTCAAGAGACCATCTATCGGTTTAGAAATAATCTACTGCACCATTGTAAAATGAAGAGCGCAGGTGATTTATTTCATTCAGCTTTTTTAACGCATAATTTCTCAGTCAGTTCGAGATTATCTCGTGACTGGTTGTGGCTTCTATTTTAGCTATAGAAAGAAAAATGAAAAGAAGTACCAATTACAGGCATGCCCTCATAAGCGAAAGGACCAGCCAGAGCCTTTTAACTATCAGGGGGCCCTTTGTCAACCATGTGCCCTCCCCGCCCCTGGCCAAGGCTCTGGCTGCACGACCACCCCGGAACGTTAAATTTGGCCCCAATATTGTCGGCTAGTCCTCCTGTTGTTCAATGCTGGTAATCCCCTGTTAGAAGGAGCAATGACACTCTTTTAATTCTAGAGATGTTTTTGATTCCGTTATATATATTATATTACTTATATTATATATTATGTTATATATGATATTATATATATATTGATTCTAGAGATGCGTTTTTATATTCTGGAGATGGCCGGATGCCCGCTCCCTTAAACCCGCATGTATTCACTTTCACCAGGCTGCTTCAGCAAAATATAAAAACTGGCATGATGCATCTCAGTCAACTATGGCACCCATAGAAAGAGCCTGGACGCCCCTCCTCCGTGAACACGCATAGAGAAATGGGCATTAGGCTGGGAAACTGCACCCACCCTCATGGGTGCAATCACTGCAGGGGATTAGGTGGACGTGTTTCCACACGATACATTAGTTTGAGATTCCGCTCCCCCATTTTTTTCTCCATAGTTGTACGTTTATTGGTTTTTTCCTGTCCCATATATGATTTTCAGGTCAGATTGTTTCTCCAGTTTCGACTTTGACCCTTCCAGTCCTCGATTTGTCATTCCCCAATCTCAGATGCCTATGTAGTGGCCACCCTTATATGAAGTCCGACATTGAAGCTACGTTTCAGGGTGCCAAGGGACATTCAGTGATGGGGATTCTCTGAGAATGTGAGAAAAAGGTTTTTATACCGTGTTTCTTTTCGATGATCACGTCACACTTCACAATCATAACAGGACAGGCCAGGGGTGTCCATTTTTGTAAATTATTGGGGGGGGGGGGGCGAAACGAAGGCCTGAACAACCTTCCCCCCATTTTGTTCTTACCGGATTTAGCCCCACTTACTTTGGTTAAACGCTTTATACTTTTAATCTTCGCATCATTCATGAAAGTCTCTAATTTAAGCAGCATAGAAGCCATGCAGGATTGCATACAGGGAGCAAGCACTGGACGCACGCCGTCTCTTCTGGTTGGCACGTGAAGGCGCCCATTTAGAGGCCACCTCAGGGCGCCGATGGCACTCTTCTATGACGGTCATGGAGGGCGGCACGCATCTTGGTTGTGGGAGACGGGAACGGGGTTAGCCATGAAGGACTTAAGTCGTCCCCATATTCCAGGGCTTTCCACTTTAACCCCACAAACCATTGCTTTCTTCTGGCGCTAGGTATGTGAAGTTTATTGCGCTGTTCATCCGCTCAGCTGTTACGATTTTTATCTTGTTGAGCAATTGTGACTTTTTGTTGAGAGTGGTACGAGACGCCACTACGCAGAAGATCAAGAAAATAGTCTTTGTGTTATGCTCATCTTTTACTCACGTTTTCTTCAGTATATTCCAGCGAAAAGCATTGGGGATCCAAGCCAAACATTGGGGGGGGGAGGGGGGACCCCATCTCAACGTTGGGGGGGGGGGGGGGCCTCACAACAGAACACAAATTAACACCCGTGAGACGGCCACGTTTGCATAGCATTTTTGACAGGTGACAGCACAACTCGCACACAAGATGGCAGCACCTACAGGAACATTGCGGTTGAGGTCATGGACATATTGTTCTAGGGCCTCGATGAATATTGCTAGATGCTACTTTGACCTTAAAACAGAGTATAGACGACAGACGCTCATGCAAAGAAAGGGAGGTAAATTTCCCCGGTACTAAATACATGTCAAATTAATTTTTCGCAATACCTGCGCAGCCAGCTAGGGTGTCGTCAATAGCTGACAGTCGTGAAATGGTCGACAGGTCATTAGGTTCATTGCTAATTTGGAATGGACAGCACATTTGTATCACTCTTGTATTTTCTATTACAATATGATGCATGGTTCAAGCTAGGAATTCAATTATTTTGGACGGGAGAGAGGGGTCTACGATTTCTGATCACTGGACGGGCGCATCCCCGGGACAATGGACATCCCTGCCGCGGATGAAATATTGTTTTTTAGCAGTTTGTACTACCTGTACCCTCCCCATTCCAGGAAATCTGCGATAGTCTCATGACGCTGCTCCTCTTATCCCCAACTATATAAAATACTCTTTACGGCACGAACCACTTTGGAGTTTCCGTGCATTGTATTCTTCTGGAAAGGCAACCTAGAGCGGATTTCGTTTGACTTTAGCGACATCTCGTGGCGATTGTGTGAAAGCAAACGGGAAACGTCATCTAAGGTTGGCAAAACGCAGAACTCTAGTAGGAGTAGATCGCCAACACGAAGCCCTAGTAGACTATTATCAACTATGGTGTGATA